ATATAGTGTCCGGATGAGGAGGGTGCCTGCAGTCAGGAACGGAGGGACAATCCTGTACACACATGGATGCAGAAACCATCTCGTGGTAGTGATTGTGACAAAGATGATGGCGAGTACACCCAAGTGCAACAGTGTCTGTGGCTGTGTATATATATACAACGAATGGTGACCCTCGTTCCATTGCCATACAATCTTGCAATGGTTGTGCAATGCTCAGTTCTTTCAATGCTTCTAATTTCGAAACAACGCACACAAACCATCCCGCCCTACTATGCACTTCTCTATACAGCTGGGTTACCCCAGAAAATGACAGCCATTGATGCGATGAAGATTGCACGTACATAACCCGTCCTTTCCTACTCTTCACGTCTCTATACAGCTGAGTTATCTCAGATCCTCACAGCCATTGACGACACGAGGGTGCAGCGGCAGCGGCTACAGTCACTACACAAATTTGTCTATTACAACATGAGGCAACTCCCCGCCTTCCGAAATGAAAAGAATGACCCAAAGCAAGAGAGTAAGGGACTTTCATGTCCCGACATCTGACATCCTTGGTTATCGCCAACGATAGTCCTGTGCGGCGCCTCGGAATCCGTGTTTGTCATTAATAAACAACAAAGCATGGACTGATTGACGATCATGAAACCCCATTTCCTCAATTTATTCCAGCTATGGCTGGCATATACCTATACCTATAGCATAGGGGGCCCTATACCTATAGCATAGGGAGTTATCCTCTTGCGAAGGTGTGGGTTTGCTGTGCAAGATGATATGAAATCTTATGAATGATAATTATAATAAGCCTTTCGTTCTGGGTGTCGGAATCGTTGGGAAGTTACAGACCTCTGTGCTGTGTGGATTGTGGATCACATTAATGATTAATCATCTTCCTCCAGCGACCATTTTCGAGCCTTCAGATTCATCTGCAATCGACTTGGTGGAGGGGGGGTTGCTCCTTGCCTGAAAAGCACAGCAAGTGCTTTGGAACGCTGGCACAGTGCGAACACCTGGGGATAGACCAGGATATCAAGTCAGATGCAGAAAGCCAACCCATCAAGACAAAATGGAAAAGAACAGCTTTTTTAAAAGTTTTTTTTTTGTTCATCTTATTATCTCGTCCGACGTGTTGCAACTTCAACATAACTCGCGTCCACATCCAAACATGTCAGTCTGCAATCTGCATGCAATATATCATGGGGAACATTATCTGAAGATTCTGAACAAGTTTTACTGTCCAATGACTCCAATAACAAATATTCAAGGGAACAAGCTGCAGATGCCCAGATGCACGCATCTGAAGATTCTGAAGAATCTGAACACATTTTGCAAACCAACAACAAACGTCCAAAAGCACAACCTGTTGATGCACAAACGAACATGTGTGTGTGGACATGCACAAGCACGTACATGCACGGACACACACACACAGGGTTGGCGTGAACGGGGATAAGAAAAGACGACTTTTCTCAGGGGTATAGCTAAGTCTGGGCGGCGTGGTAAGTCCTTATCCATCAGTCAAATGCATCCTGGGCAGCCTGTCTGTCCAGGTTCAACCTCCTGATGAGTCGGTGACAGTCCGAGGAAACAGTCAGGCATAGTCATGTTTTAATTTTTTCTGTGGAGTTGTGTACACACACACACACACACACACACACACACACACACACATGCACACACACACGCGCGCACACACGCACACATGCACACACACACGCGCGCACACACGCACACACATGCACACACATGCACACACACACGCGCGCACACATGCACACATGCACACATGCACACATGCACACACAGATTGGCTGATCTCAAACGTGCTTCATTCTCCCAACAGGGCTGTTGTGGTGAAAATCTACGACACACACCGCAAACGTGCTTCATTCTCCCAAGAGTACATTTTTGTAAACGACGTGGCCGGTTCAAGGTTATATATTATATAATCTTGGAAGTTGTAAGTTGAAAGGAAACCAGTTCAAACCACACACAATAAGGCTCAGGCTTCCCAGCCAACCAACACTGTTGGACTAACAGTTATACACACAGGCAAAAAACAGCTTACCTCAGAGGCATTGATTTCAGCAACTCCCATACAGTTGAGGCCAGATCCTTCAAGGATATCACAATACCGAGCAGCCTCCTCCCCATCCTCAAAGACCTAGATATAACGACCAGCAGCAGCAACAACAACAACAACAACAACAACAACAACAACATTAAGTGTGTCTGCACTCAGAGAGGACTGCAATGTGGTCCCAGGCACGCAGCTAGCCAGGGCCTAGTACAATATTACAGAAGCAAATATTCGCTCTCCCAGCCTTTACAAGGAAACAAGTTGAGCAAGAAGATTACGCATACAAATTACGAATGCTTTCGCCCACCCCCACCTTCGCTGTCAAATCGAGCTTGAGTTGTGGATTTCTGTCCCACCCTTGCTCGAGAAGTTCAAGACTCTTCTTCAGGCAAGGAAAAAATGGGTCCAAATGTTTTCCAAGTTACAAGAGCAACGCAGGTGTAGAAGGGAGGGAGGAAAGTGAGAAACCAGGCACAAGATAACTCCGTACACTCGATAGAAGAAACACTACTGCGGCCGAGCATTTGGGTCAGTCGATCACGGCTACGATGTGATAGTCTACGATTCTAGCGAAGTTTAACAACGCCCTTAACATGCGAACATGTGAATACAACATGCACGGATAAAACATGCACGCTGGACCTCACAGAGCCAGACTGTGCTGCTGCTGCGTACAAACGCCATACATTGTGATAAACCCACACAATTATTGCTTACATGCAAAGGCTGTCAACCAGTCCAGTGGAAACAACAGACACACAAGTGACCGGTCTTACGACCTGCTAAGTACATGTGCAATGGTGTACTCAATGCTGAATACAGCTCTGCGACACATACTCAAGCCTGACTCAATTTCATTTTACGACTTGTTGAACTTAGCGTGCGTAGCGAGCACACGTGCAATCATGCACTCAACGGTCGGTACGGCTGTGCAGTGTGTACTTCAAACTGCATCGAGTTTTCCATCGCATTCACTACTAGTTGTTGAGCTAGCTCGACACAATTCCTGGCAACGTGTGTGAGATATGGAAAATACCAAAAACAGAAATTTGTCCTTCGGGACATCCGTTAAAATTGGAACGATACAGAGAAGATTCGCATGGCCCCTGCGCAAGGATGACATGCATAAATCGAGAAATGGTCCAAATTAAATAAAAAAAAAAAAAAGAAGAAGAAGAAACTTACCAGAACACCTTCTCTCATGTCTTCAACATGCATGCGGAATCGTCCCTCCTCCTTGCGAACACCTGCAAGTTCTGATCCTGTACTGACCTTAGACCCCTGCCCTCGGATGCTTCCACCCCCTTTCTTTGCACTTGCATGATCTGAGCTCCTTGGTTGTCCATTCGATCCTCGTCTGCTGCCACGTTTTGGAAATAACAAGCCCAGCTCTTTCTCCACCTCACTGCTTGGGGTATTACCAAAAGAATGCACACACATACACACACACACACACACACACAC